CTACTTCATTTGCTTACTTACTTAGGAATATTAAGAAATATCCATTCCACATGAAATAACCGCTTTTGCGTCCTGCATGACAAGACACAACGAGAATCGGGTGCTCTGCACCTTCATCAGAAAACTCATTCACTTTGGATAGAATACTTTCCTCCATCTCTACATGTTCGTACAGATGCTGAAACATAATTAAAGATGAAGTAATTAATTAAATAATTAATACAATGAGATGGTGTAGTATGTCGCCTCTCTTTCATAAATTTTGGTTGAAGTTTTTCTACCAAACTGATATTTGATAAATCACGCAGGAAAATAAGCAGAAGCTGATATCTTTTAACTATAGTGAGATGTAAGTTCTAGTCTTTCCGAACAGACATAAGAACTCGCTCAAGGGTTATGTATCCATTGGTAAAGAGCCACCGAAACCATACTTTGCGTACTCAAAATACACTTCGAAAGAGCGATTGCAATGGTTTAAAAATACTGACGAAGCAACATTCTCATCTGTCTCATTGTTTTTCCTAGAAAGACACTCGATTATGCGTTGATGATTGCGAATCCGTTTCCCCGTTACGGTCTTTTAAAATCCCTGTTTAAAATCAGAATCTCTAGACACTGACCGTGAACATCTATCTGTCTGCACCGATTTTAATAGTGACGGACTGTAAACGATACTAAGTTAACCACATGGGAAGGTTTTGAGAGGTATTAAACAAGTTTTAACTTAAGTGCTCCAATTACTATTATTCTGACTGAATAAAAGATCAAAATTTTTACAATTTCGTGAAAAATTGTTTGTTGTGAATGTTTCCCGTTAGTTTGTAAAGAACGATGCTTTTTCTTACATTTGAGGCTTAAAATCGTTCAGCTTAATAATTAAGTACGAGCTCTGCAGTTCGAAAGTCTTAAGGAAAAAGTTTTTCAAAGGTTGATTCATGTTCAAAGGCATGTTTCTAGTTTTAAAACAGATACATCTGATACAGATTTTAATATTCTTTCCACATTGGAACTAAATCAAACATTGGTTAGTGACGGACAGAACAAATTTTCTTTTATACATTGTTTCGTTTGTTTCAGCCGACAATTTCTTATCTAACTGCTTTGGATATCTATTCAATTGGGTCTATTGTTGCATTGTGCGTTTTAAACGTGTATCATGGCGTAATCGGTTACTTATATTATATCCAGCTCTATTGGGATCTGCCTTCAACAATGACTATAACAACTACTCCACATGACACATTAATTTTACTAGATCGATATGTATTTGGCATTTGTGGTGGATCGTTTATCCTCTATCAGATTATTGTATTTGCATGGACATATTTTGTACCTTGTCGACGACGACGAGAAATGAAGAAGAAAGATCATCAAAATCGTCTTGAATTAACCAAAAAATTTAAAGATGACGCACGAATGCTTATTGATTCGGGAAAAGTATGAGTGCGCCGTCAAAAAATGTGCATATAAGCGAATGGTAGAAGTTTTCTCAATCGATTTAAATAAGACTCGTCTTTTTTGTACGAATATCTTTCCTTCCCGTTTAGCATTAATATCTTTGATTTAATTTAAGATGTTCAAGGCGCTTTTGTAATTAAGTCCTATGCGTATCAGTATCATATATCATAATTGTTTAATTTGTATTTTGCTGGTGAGATTGAAGTTGTTTTCAAACTGTATGACGTGTTTCCTCGCAACTTTTATAGAATAAATATTCGCTGAATATTCATTGTTAACATGTTATCATTTTCAGGAGATTTCTGCCATATATGCAAAATCAGACCACCTGGATAAAAACAGAAATAGCACTTTGATTAATTGCTCGTGTTATTGCAGTATTGTATCTCCTCTGACTTGTGGTACTCGCAGTTAAACTCATTTTAATTTTTTATTAAAATTACTGTGTAAAAACTAAGCTTTCACATCTAACAGTTCATCCTCACAGTTGAGTAAAAACATATATAAATAAGATCTTGGTAGATCCGTCCCTGTCTCGCTGAAAGTCAGCTCTGGTGGTCTTCACATTGCTCACTTTGACCTTAGTACAGTGCTGGCTGGTAAATCTGTCAGTTTGAGACTTTTGATAATGGCAAACAATTTTATTTAGTAAACGCACTTATTTAGCAAGGAGCTGAGCGAAACGAAGGTGATGAAGTGATTGAGAACCGGGATGTAAAACTTGACGAGTGATTTGCGAGCGCTAGAATAATAATGATTTAATCAAAATTTCTTCTTTCGTTACAATATAATGTTTTAGATTAAGTTGTAGTAGTAGTGGTAGTAGTAGTAATAGTAGTAGTAATAGTGCTTGGTATGTAGATGATTAATAAACCTTTTCTATACGTTGTATAGAGTTAAATCGAATATTATAAAATAGTTTAAATTGTTTAGAACGAAGGACGAAAGCATCTGTTAACTGAAGAAATTAGTCTTTATCATCAGAACTTAAATCCTTAAGTAAATCTTCTATTTTTACTTTGTTGTTGTTATTGGCGACGTTAGCATACTCAGCTTGATAAACATAATTCTTTACTGCATCACCTTCACAGTGTACCAGAATTATTGCAGTCATACATCATTTCAATATCAATAATATCAAGCTCTTTTTTGCACTTGATGCATATTATCATTTTTTCATGTACTTTAATACCAACTACATTAATTTCTAATTCATACTCTTCCTGAATAACAAATGTACACAGTTCGGGATCAACTTTTTCGTTTACGACCTGCATAAGTAAAGGTAAAAAAAAGTCGGGAGTTTGACTTAAGTGGAGCTAGCAAAGTTAAACAGCATTTGTAAAGTCTATATTAAACCAAAATCACTATGTATGAAGGACTACGCTCTCCGTTTTTCAAGTGGATTCACTGTATTACCAGGAAACGGTCACAAAACCAAATGACAAGAAGACAAACAAGGAAACAAAAACGCAAAATAGCCTTGACTTTTAGTCTTACCTTTTTAGAGTCAACGATTGTTGTAGCATTATCCGATGACAGAATAAATTCAGCATTCATCATTCTTCTTTCGATATTTGCAATCAAATCATCTTGTCTTTCAACAAATTGACGATGATTCCAATGGTAAATGTGAACCATAAAATCTTCAACCAAAGCGTACGCAGCCCCAGACCCATCTCCTTTAGGCATGCACCAATACCAATCACTGTTGAAGATATTGTACAATATTATTGAGTATATAATAATATATTTATGTTGTTTTATATTTGTTGATCATAGTTAATCAGGATTTAATGTTTTCTTCATAAAAAACTGACCATGCAGATAAATAAAGACATAGGCTATCAAACACGCTGAGTCTTGTGGCAACATTTGTTTTTCGAAGAGAACAAGATGGCCGGAGGGGGTGTTTAAAGAAATGTGCATTGCAGAAAAAAAATATTGATTAAATTACAATGAGCGAATAACAGAAACTTAAAGATAAAAGTTTATTTCCAAGATGTTCTTTGTGTCTACTTTCTTGTAACCAGTTGTCGTTGTTGTGTAGTAAGACGAGTAGCAGCATTGCTGCTTTCTCCACTACTGCGACCACGCGTTAATATAAGCTGCTTGATTTCAGAACGAAATGCATGATATATTGAAATGTAAATAAAGAAACTTGCTCCACTATTTAAATATTGAAGAAATGAATTGGAAAAGAATGAAACAAATGATTCTATTTGAAGACGTGTGGCACTTTTGTTTGTAACATTCGCCGTTATCGTCGTGTATAGAAAAACGAATGGATAAGCCGACGTAAGTATGAGATACACAAAGACTTCGGCTAGTACCATATTTTGAAAATCACAATCTCGTCTTTTCATTTGTCCTGATGCTTCTGTGATACAGCGAACTCGACAGCGTAGTCGTTTCATATTACGCAGTGTAAGAAAGCCAAAGATGATCATGAGTAAGAGAGGTGTAAAAATGATGATGAGAACATAGGTGGTATAGAACGTAGCATAGCCACCAAATGCCGAACATTTTGATTTTTCTATTGTTTCCCATATGAGAATGTGCGAAGGAATGACTAACCAGGCAAGAATAGCGATAAGAACTGTTCTCCGAGCAATTTTTATTGTTGCCCATGTTCGAATGTTCACATATGAACTTGACATGGCAAATCGATCGGCACTTGCTAAGATAAGAAATGTTCTAAAGAGATTGTTTGACACTTGAAGAATGTAACCACGAAAACGACAGAGAAAGAGTGATTGACTAAATACATCAGGTGGTTTGTTCAGCGCAATAATACCGGGAATAAGAGCCCAATTGATTGAAATAATCGAGCTTGCTGCAACAAGGATGAGATAGATAGAACATGAACTTTTTCGGTGATGTCGTTGCGAGAAGATAATAATCGAAAGAAGATTGCTTATATTGGCTACTATGACCATTACCGGCATACCATATCGTGTTATTGTTTGTTGGATAATGGCAAGAAAAGGAGCAGACATTGTTGCTCTGACTTCCTAGTTCGATCTGTTATCTAAGAAGCGGATAAACGACACCAGTAATATTGTCGATAGTGGCTTAGATAATGAAATCTTTGATGCATGAATGACAGAAGAAGATATCTGGTAAAGACAAACGATCTTATTTGTGTTCACGTCATTAGCAAGAAAAAGTTAACTCAAATGTCACTTTTATTTACTAATGACGTTGTTCTATATTATCAAAAACAGAAATGCTTTTATAATTAATAACCACCGTTGTTCATACACATTCTTTTCTCTTGACAAAAATTGAATCAAAAACGGCGTTTTGACCGAGATATGAGTTAATTAATGAAAATGTCATTATTAATAATTAATTAATAACTCACGATCTTGATCAGTGAAAAGTCTGAAATTTTCAACATTGGTGGAGATAGATGTTGCCTACTCACTGTGGCACTTTTAGGCTTATAAACCAAAGCTTTCGTAAGATATGAATTTTTTGTGATTTAGGCAGTTTTTAGGCGAACAAAATAATATAAGAATTTGGCTATAAGTGTTAACGAAAACCAATAGATTTAGAAAATGATCCAGTAGCGTTTCGAAAAGTAGCGTTTTGGCTGCCAAATCCCATAGACTAAAGTTATCTTCGTCATGATAATATCGTCGGGTGATGACAGAGAACGTTTGTCGAGATGTACATAGTAATCATGTGGTTCATCGTTCAGAAAATTTATGTAGTTTTTCTGTACAGCATACTGGACTATATTTGATTATCTTTAGCTTCGTTTGTATCTGATATAAAGCGTTTGCCGGTCGGTTACTGCTGGATATAGTGTGGGCTTAACTGGTAAATATCCTAAATATCCTAAGTATACTAAATATCCTTAATACCCTAAATATCCTTAATACCCTAAATATTCTAAGTATCCTAAATATCCTGAACATCCTAAATATCCTAAGTATCCTAAGTAGACTAAATATCCTTAATACCCTAAATATTCTAAGTATCCTAAATAGCCTAAATACCCTAAATATCCTAAATATATTAAATACCATAAATATCCTAAATTTCCTAAATACCCTGAACATCCTAAGTATCCTAAATAGCCTAAATATCCTAAGTATCCTAAGTATCCCAAATATCCCAAATATCCTAAATATCCTAAATATTCTGAATATCCTAAATATCCTAAATATCGCACATATGCTAAATATCCTAAGTATCCTAAGTATCCTAAATATCCTTAATACCCTAAATATCCTAAATACAGAGATGTCATAATACGAATATGTTATGTATTGAAAGTCACGAGTACAAACACCACTACTATGCGTATTAATAGGTCTTTTTCGTGTGATTCGTAAGGATACCTATGGGGTACATATACTGTTGAGAACTGTGAGAAGTGGAGAATTGTAAGAATACACATCTCCTTACATATAGTATTATTGAGAACTGGAGAACTGTAAGAATACATATCTCATTACATATACTACTATTGAGAACTGGAGAACTGTAAGAATACATATCTCATTACATATACTACTATTGAGAACTGGAGAATTGTGAGAACTGGAGAACTGGAGAACTGTAAGAATACATATCTCATTACATATACTACTATTGAGAACTGGAGAATTGTGAGAACTGTAAGAGTACGTATTGTGTACATATAATGTTGGGAACTGTAGTACTATAGTACACTTACACTGTTGAGAATTGGAGCACTGTTTTTGATAATAAGATTGTTTGACAGCTGCGTAACGGGTTTATACGATAAAGTGAGGCGAGAAGACCTGTTGTTGTTCTAAAAAAAGATAGTAAATTGCATCTAAGTCATGGCTTTTATTTAATTTTCATGGGCCACCGGAGCGCATTTTGATTGCGATTCCTGCTAGAGCTCTGTCGTATCAGTAGCTTTCTGTGGTGTTTACCACTGTTAGTATATTTTGTTTATATTCAGACCATCTGTAAGGGGTAGTGTTGTGGCGGCGTCCTCAATAAATATTGCCGTATTGGTATTTCACTATAAGGAAGAGGCCTGGGTAAAAGTTATTTATTTAGAATTTAAAACTTTGATGTAACAAAATTAGGT